TATATATACTATATATATTATATATATATATATATATATATATATATATATATATATATATATATATAACAATCATGCGCATCGTTGGGCCTTGAAACTAATTGCACAGGGGAATACTGTTTAGGTGGATCGTTCAGGTATGTATGGTTACGTATTCATTATTGATAGTACCTCAGCTCTCTACAGATGTTATGTGTTAAGCGGTTTCTTGTCTGTGCAGTAGTATATTAATTGTACACCTTATGTGGTACGCGATGTGATATAGGCCACTATTTATCTTTACTGGGTCTTTATGTGAACATCAGTCGCAACTAGGAGCAGCACTACCACTACCACCGTCACCACTGTCGCTACGCCTTAATTATCACCTCCTCCACCACTAATCGCCATCGCCACCGCCACCATCACCGCCACCGCCACCGCCACCGCCACCGCCACCGCCACCACCGCCGCCACCACCGCCGCCACCGCCACCGCCACCGTCACCGCCACAACCACGCCACCGCCACCGCCACCGCCACCGCCACCGCAACCGCAACCGCAACCGCAACCGCAACCGCCACCGCAACCGCCACCGCCACCGCCACCACAATATATACACTTATCAATTCCATTAATGTTTGCGCCTCTTGAGACAGTGTCTCGGTATACCTGGCTAAAGTGAGATTAATATTGTGCTCCCTTTGGTATATTGCCACTAACAGTACAGTTGTCATGTTGTCGAAGACGTCGACGGCGTTGAAAACAAATCTATATGACAGCCCTTGTAATTACTTTTCCTATATAGCAATATTTCTATATTTCCGTTTGATGCATGCGAAAGTAGCACATGGCGTCGTAAGCTCCAGCTGTTAAGAGAACAGCGTGAGATATGTAAGCATTCCGTGGAACCTTTGCCTTACTGAGCTACTCAACGATTCCATTTCATTCATCCTGTATCATTAAGCGTCAGCATAATCTCTTTGATCGATGGCCGCCGTAAGTGACTGGTGGGGAATGTAAATATGCGTTTGTCTAACCCTCGCTCTGAATTGAAAAACGTCGTTGACTTTTCAGGTTTTCATCGGTGTTTTTCATAGAAATTAGTTTTTAAATATCAGGAGTGAATAATAATAGAATAATCTATTATTATTCACTTCTGTAAGTATTTGTATTTCGTGAATATTCGCGCTTTTAATTTGGTTGTCCGATGCATATGTAAGTTGTTGATGCTACCATAATATCAGGAGTGAATAATAGAGTAAAATATCACTAAAAATCACTAATTATCACTAAAAATCACGAATTATCACTCATTATCTTATGATTTATCTACTAATTATCTCTATTATTCACACCTGATAATATTGTGGTTATTACTGCACAGTTTCTAACGTACCCATAGTGTGTGCTTCCAAGATGTATCTCTCGTCAAAGCACTAATTTAATCTGAATTTTTTCTTGCATCCGCAGTGTATAATCTTTCATGTGGAAACACATCCGAACGTACCCTCGTACACACAGTGTGTCACCTTCAACTTCTTCCCGTCAGCATTGCATGCGAATGCATACAACGTGTTTACGATGGTGGCCGGTTACGGACTGCCGCTGTTGGTCATCATTGTGTCCTACTCCGCCATATTGAGGGAGATCTATCGCAAGTCGCAGGAAAGTAAGTGTAAGCACGCATTTCTTACGAACTATCGTTCTCGCCTTCATTGACTTATACATTACGCATTATTATTATTATTATTATTATTATGCATGCACGCATTATTATTATTATTATTATTACTTATTATTATGCATGCACGCAATAAAGCTTCGGACTTCACTCCTAGCCTACCAAAGTTCTATCTTTCACGCATCAACCAGGAACGCCCCGTTCTTACCTACTAAGGCCGCTAACCTTCCATCGGTTTTTACCGCACACTACAAAGTTCTATTTCTTTTTGTCCACTCATCAAAGCTTTGCCTCTCTTTTTCAACGTAACTATGCTTTCTCATTTATGTCTCTCGCCTCTAATAAAACCATCAAACGCCTATACTAGTCCGCTAATGATCTGGCCTTCTTTCTGTATTCTCCAAAGCGGAGTACAGAAACTGTCGCGTGTTTACACTGGGCGAGATAGACATTTATAGACAGCAGAAATAATAATATATTGTACTTGCTGCCAGATACCAATTATATATATTTATATATATATATATATATATATATATACGCACACACATACACGTATATATATATATATATATACACGAATATACACGTGACGGTTAGGCATTAGTTTGTCAAGGATTTTAGTTCCAACTGGGGCGCAATGCCCCATCGAACTGATCACGACTATTATAGTTGAACGAGCAAATCTCGCGCATTGCGAAATACGAGATTTCAGTTTCTTATTAATTCCGTTTGTACGCACGCCTCCTATATCGTGTTTCACGGCGCCCATTCCACAACTCTCTTCTGCCGCCGCTGCCTTCTATATATGAGCTATTCTCGAGCACCCGGTGAGTATCGTTCAACCACAGCATATGATGAAACGCTCTACCTCTCTCTCTCTCTCTCTCTCTCTCTCTCTCTCTCCTCTCTCTCTCTCTCTCTTTCTCTTCAGTCAGCTCACTCACTATCTCTCTGTTTTTACACTTGCAATGCAAGCACTCACGCGCAACACGCACACGCACACGCACACGCACACGCACACGCACACGCACACACGCACACGCACAGCGCACACGCCCACGCACACGCACACGCACACGCACACGCACACACGCATGGAAATACGCTCATGCACGCGCACGTACGTACGCACGACGCGATCCGCAGTCACAATATATATTATAACTATAATATATATATATACTATATATATTATATATATATATATATATTTTATCTTATTTATTTATCGAGGGAGAGAGATGAGAGACGAGAGATCTTAAGAAAAGAAGGATAGCGAGAGGGAAGGAAAGGAAAAGTGAGCGAGAGATAGAGAGCGAAACGGGAAAGGGGCGGGCGGAGCTACAATTAGCACATTATTCTTCAAGTATCCAGCGCGTTATGAACACAACCCGCATGTAGAGCAAGTTTGTGAACGAATCCTCTCTCATAGTGGATACGTAATTTATACACACCAAGTGTGTATATGAATCGTAATACGTATTTGTGATTTTAGGTGTGCAGGTAACCCCTAAGCCTCCGTAATGTGATTATTAAAGGTTCCTGCCCACGAAATTTCAAGCGGAAAATATAAAAACAGGCAAAAATTACTTATTTTAACATTGCACGTTTGTACTTGCCTATATATGTGTGATAGGTACAAAAAAATTGCTCGGGAATACGTTCATTCAAAGCTTTTAGACTACAAAGTGAAAGTGTCGGGTCGAATGTTTCAAACAGCGTTTACTTTTGCCGCTCTGCGGCGCTGCTCTGTGAGCTGCCCGCGTCGACTCTTGCCGTCATTATACAGACTCGGAACCGCGGCAAAAAGCGGTAGACGTGATACATATTTTTACAGTTTTATTTTCAAAGCTAACGTTCAGTTAAAGTGTAGTGAGCTATTTACTTACGTTTTTACAGTGGTTTGTTACGAAAAATGTACGTGGGAAGACATCTTTAACATGTCTTAAAAAATCCCTACCGCGTGATTAAGCCACTGATAGTCGCTAATAGATAATCAAGGCGAGGCATATTATCTTTCCGGATTTCTCTCTAATTAGGATAAATACGAGATCAAATGTAGGTAATATGAACGATAACGAAGGTACAATGATCCGCATTAGTCGAGTGGCGGTTAAAACCAGAGTAAATCTACGTTCAGGGGCGGGCGGGTATAAACGTAATGACAGGTCACGGTGATTCCAGTTGCCCTTTTGATGAAACCGACAGACGACCGAGCTTAGAGACAATAATAAATATATAGGTTGTAGATAACAGAGAAAGGGCGCATAAACGAGAAGGAGAGAGGGGGATCGAGAGGGGCAATAGCATGGAGACGGTGATTAAGAACGAGTGAGGCAGAGCGGGAGGGTAACAGAGATACGCGGAGTGAAAGAGAAAGAGAAAGAGACAAACAGACACATGAAGAGAGTGAGAGAGAGAGAGACAACATGAATGTGCAAGTGTGTGTGTGTGTGTGTGTGCGCGCGCGCGCGTGTGTGTATGCGTGCGTGGCGTCTGAATGTATGGGTATATAGTATATGCGTGTGCATGAGACACACAGAGAGAGAGATAGACAGAGAGACAGACAGGCAGAGGGACAGTCAGCCAGCGAAACACATGACGTGATAGATGTATAGCATGCTCGCCCTACTACACACCGTCTCCTCTTGCAGCGAGCGCGTCACGCGCCGGCAGCGGCGGCGGCCTGCGACGCTCCTGCGGCGGCAACCTGAGCAAGGCGAAGGCGAAGACGCTCAAGATGACCATCATCATCGTGCTCGTCTTCACGATGTGCTGGACGCCGTACTATGTCATCGCCGCCTGGTACTGGTTCGATCCGGCGACGGCGCGGCTCGTCGACCCGAAGGTGCAGCGAGGCCTGTTCATGTTCGCTATCTCGAACGCCTGCATGGACCCGCTCGTCTACGGCCTGTTCACGATCAACGTGCACCGCGATGCGCAGCGCTGCTCGCAGTGGCTGCGCCGATGTCTTCGCCGCCGCGCCGACGATAAGGGCATGTCGACCACGGCGTCGTCGGCGAACATGTCGAGCAATACGGAGCGCATCTACGTGCACATGACTCCGCTGGCGACGAGTCACAACGGCATCGTATCGGCGTTGTGAGCGCGGTGGGTTCGGACGGGCGGCGCCACTGTCGATGAACGGATCCAGAGACGTTCCGATCTTAAAAGTGTGGTGGATGTTCATAGGCGGCGCTACTGTCAAGAAACGGAAGCAAAGACGTTTCGATTTTAAGAGTGTGGTGGATGTTCATAGGCGGCGCCACTGTCTATAGACGTAAATGACAGTGCGGCGGATAGTCGTGATGACGCAAGGAGGCGCCACTGTCGATAAACGAAAACGGAAACGGAGTAAAAACGCATACAGGATGTTTCGTTGTACGGTGGTGCGCACCAACAAGGAAACTATGACGTCAACCGGTTGTTCACGTTTTTCGCTTGTGTCATTGACAACGGACTGTTGTAGATGCTCGCTGTGCCAGTTTCATGCTAGAAAATGCGGATATATTTATATTAGCACACTATTCTACATTGTAACTAATGCTGTGTGCAGATATGAAGCGCCAACTCGACAAGTGAGCGCGTAAGGAGTTTCATTTCAGGAGTTAATTGTGTGTGCGAAATGGTGTTCATGTATTGCATTGTCAAAAAGTGATCGTGTCGTGGATCACGTGTTATATCATAGGCTAAGTGCTGCGCGAATTTAAGATTGATTGATCTCAGCAGTGTAGACAGTAGTTACGAGAAGTTGTATGCATTGAATCACTCATAATAATTTATATCGGGTTAATATTTGCTGGGAGCGCAGCTAAAGTCGTATACGTTGGCTATATATCATGGTTTAGCCTATATGTAAAATCTTCTAGATTTACGCGTCCCTACCCCACGTACATGCGCGCGCATGTAGGCCCTATAACGCGTATGCTCATGCTATAGGCGTCTGTGTACGAAATGGGTGCACTTTGCCTGTATGTACCTACTACCTATATATGGAATACGATTAACAGCATAATCTTCCCATTTTATTTTTAATCCAATCTGAGCGGTGCTCTATACTAACGATTTAGCCCTAAAATAATTAGCCAATCATATGATGCGATAGATATTCGTTCCGTATCAATACTTCAAACAGGCGGATGAATTAAGTCCTATGTGATCCATCAGGCATCATTTTATTCACCATACATTATTTTAGTTGAAATCATAGGCTATAAATATTAATTGTAGGCACCTTGCACTCGCCTACACCTTACCATAGGTAGATAATAGGGAATTCCCCTATTATCTACTTCTGACCTTACGTATTGCCCTGATAAGATCTATTATGGTTTAAGCGGCTTATAATTTATAATAGTAACACTTTTCTGATTGGGCTTTCAGCTAGTAGTAATAGGATTTAATCGCGATTAAATGGCACTGCCTTGATTAGATATAAATTAATCGCACCTCAACGCTATTTCAATCGCATTTCAATGTGTTAACAAATTTATTAACCGCAATTTACTCACCGTTTACATCGCTTTCAAACAGGATTAATATTAGTAAGTGATGCCAGTGATTGCGTTCTATACACACGCGACAGCATATAAAATACGCGTAGGCCTACATTAATCATATATGGGTGTTGCTATCCCCCGGGCGTGGAGGGAGGTCACGTGATAACGTTGACGATGACGTTCAAAACGTAACCCTCACTCCAACACCGCCAACACTAACCATCACACTAAATATATATGTGTCGCCGCGCTATATATAGGCATTGTGATCCACAAAAATTAATCTATGGTGTGGGGACAGATATCATGATGGAAAAACTCTAACCCTTACCCTAATCCTAACCCTAACCCTAACCCTAACCCTAACCCTGACCCTAACCCTAATCCTGCCACTAGTGCTGCCACGTTGCGGTTACCTCCCTCCACGCCCGGGGGATAGCATTACCCAATCATATATGAGCACGGAGTGATGGCCATGATGGATTTCCATGCATGTGTATACATGCGCGCGTGTGTGTGCGTGCGTAGGCGTGTGTGCATGTGTATGTATGTGTGCTTGTATATTGACAAAGTGTATATTGAAAGGTATCGGTATGTAATCATGGATATTGAGGTTTAGGCTGAAAATTGACTCGTTTACCTTGGCACATGGCCTAGCATAAATTGAGGTAGTGAAGTAGTGAACCCCCGCGTGAAAGGTACACGGGTATACACATGGATTATATGACGTTTGAATAGGGAACTCAGTGATGTTCTGATTTGAAGAAACCCATGCCATGCATCCAAGTAGGGTTATTTGATCGTCTGTAATCGTTTGATATGTGATACCTGGAATTATGTATACATGATATGTATGTTCGTATGAGCGTAAACATAATTGTGCTGATATCAGTCTATAGTGCTGGCATATAAGGATTTGCGCTACCCATTATCAACTGGCGAGTCAGCTTTGCATAAACAGTGTTTGTTCGCAGTAAGCTACTATTCAGTGTGTTGTCTTTGTACTCAAGCACGCGCGAATCTCGACGCGTGGGATTGAGTAAAATTGCGAGGTATTTAAAGACGACGAGAGATTTTTATTACGCAATCACGGTCGCGTGTAGGCACACACGCAAATCGCCATTCCGGTCTGACGGCGCCATTGACAGCTAGCTCTATATCATATGAAATGTGAACGCGCACGTGTGCACCCAAGCTATTACTACTACGTTTTCACAATATGTCAGAAGGAGTCTGCGATTGCGATAAACAATACGTCCGCCGCCAGCGCGTCATCGCACGCAAATCGTCATTCCGGTCTGACGGCGCCATTGACAGCTAGCGCTATATTATCATATGAATTGTGAACGCGCACGTGCGCTATTATCCAAGCTATTACTACTACGTTTTCACAATATGTCAGCGGGAGTCTGCGATTGCGATAAACAATACGTCCGCCGCCAGCGCGTCGTCGCCGGGATTTTCGTCTCCTCTCGCCATGCCGGTCGCGAACAATTGGCGAAATGTTTCGATAAGCTTCGCGCACACCGCAGGGACACGAATCAGTGACACATCATCATCGTCACGGCGGCTGACGGCGTCAGCGTGAAACGGGATTCTGCTGAAATCTATATAAAAAAACGTGCGTTCACCGACTTCACTGAGTATTTAGCCTGTGGATTACAGCGGGCTGACTGAGTGACGAGGGGATGTGTGCGGCGGTAGCGAGAGTCGAATAATCGGGTTCGCGTTTGAGTCGACGCGTCGGATAAAAGCGCTCATATCAACGCGCCGTCGGCTTCTCCTGCCTCCATACCGCACTCTACACCGCTCTGATAAGCAACAAATGCTCACGTAAAAAAACATCCAGACGTCCATCGCGGCCGTCATGCTTAGAATCTGAGAACTCGATAGCCGATCAATGTGCTAGCCAAAAAAGAAATAAGTTTCATCTCCACGATGGTCAAATAAATAATCAAAATTTCCATAATTTCTAAATTTCTATTATATAATTATTATTGAGCCTGCGTACGTGAGCACGTGAGTGCGTACGTGCGTGCACTCGTGCGTTCGTGCCTGCATGCTTGCGTGCAGTACACCAGAAGTAAAGTTCACAAATCGTTTAATGCCACCTCAATGTCGTGTGCAAATAAACACGTGTCCGCGCGTACGGCTGAGTAAACAGGGACGGGTTACGTACTGTGTGAACGCGGCCAATCTCAGGAAATTAGGTTTCCGTCTTATTGCGGGCAATCCGATATTGCACGAACAGATCAACAGCAAACGATCAACACTCCGGTCATATTTTTTCTCCGTTCGCGTAACTAAACCTATACGTTTTCATTAATTAGTAGAAAATAATAATAAAGATAATTGATATTATTCATATTACTTGATTGCGTGGCACAACCCTTAACATATCTCGCAGTTATTTGATTTTACTTTTAATATTGCCACGCGAGTAATTATAAATTAAAGATAAACAGCATGTCTCTTGGATAACTAAGTACCGATTTATTTATTTACGGTAATTAAGCAAGCTATCATTGCTACGTGCAGGATTTCGACATTAGTAAAATGAGCAATAACAACACGAGTGAAACTTTAACATCGCACGTACAACAAACATGGACAAATTGATTAATTACAAAATAACAAAATACATGATAAATATAGTTAGTATATAAGGCTAAAGTACAATTAAGTCTCACGAACCGATACCCCGTAATCACAAGAATAAATATATTATGTTTTCGATGATTTACATGATAATTATGTTTGCTAAGATTATTACGAGGCATTAAGAAGTGTAACGAGTTATATCACCCCTATGATCAGGTGTTTTTTTATTATTCTAATTTTTACCAATTTATAATTTATAATTATATCCAATTTAATTATTACTCTAATTATTTTATAAATTAATTTAATAACTTCAACTATTTAATAATTGTTAACTAATTTTGTTAATCATGCTGATCGCAGTGAAACAAAGTCGAATGACGTATAGCCGACCTCCATAACATGTCAATGTCACCAGCCACACCATCGAGCGCTACAAAGTCTATCATCATATCTGCTAATTGCCTTAGCTGGCACTCACACGGGTCACGCAGGCACAGATCTAGGATTACCGTCATTCGTATCGAGCAGAACTTGATTTCCATGGACGCCTTTTATTTATGCAGGGCGGTACTGCCCAATCGGTCACTTATTTTGCACTAATTTCATTATTATTTTAATTTTTTTTTTAATTATTTAATATCTCCCACTATTTAATAATTGCGAAAAAATCGCAGTGATAATGAGCCAAGGTCGAATTGCATATAGGCGTCCTACATAACATTTCAATGCTACCACCCACACCATCGAGCTTAATGTAGGGCGGCCCCAGCGGTCACCTATTTTGCGCTATTCGAAGAAGCCGCCGGTGGCTTTCCATCCATCGACTTTTCATCCTTGACAGAGGGCGCTGATGACTTTCCGGGAACAGATTTCGCGTCATTCGCAGCTGGTGCACCTGGCGCAGCTGGCGCTCCGGGCACCGAGTTCTCATCCTTTGACATGGGAGCTACGGGCTTTCCGGCGACAGAGCTCACGTTATTCACCGATGGTGTGACAGGTTGTGTGGTGATCGGCTTCGCTTTTAGTTGGACTCCGACACCATTAGGAATAATGACAGCTCCCCCCGGTGGCTTGTTATCTGCATATTTAAACAGGTAAAGTCGCCGGGTTGGACACGCACCACTTAGAATAAAACATAGAATGAATGAACGAGTGAACAGCAGAACAATTTCAGTTCTGATCAAACAAATCAGTCGTAAACGTGGTGTTACGACGCGGTTGTGTATCGACTATATTTCAAACCTACGTGCGACGGCTTTCGTGAAATTCTTCGCTTTTTGTGGAGTCCCTTTTCTATCAGTTTTTCCGTTTTTTTCACTTTCGGTCTGTCAAGAAACCACAAAAACAACCGAACATGATAATCCGATTTTGTTCTTGCAGAACACACACACACACACACACACACACAACACAAACATACCTACACACGCATACACGCACGTACACGCGCTCACACACACACACACACACACACACACACACACATATATATATATATATATATTTATATATATAGTGCGTTTTCTAAGACTTCCATAATTTATCGATTTTTCCTAACCCCAAAACTCCGTTCTCACTAACCCGGTGGTAAGCGAGCTTAGAGAGTGGAGGTTAGTGTTATGAAAGCGAAACGTAACTATGCACGGGGTTCCCGTACGAAATCACTCGAAATTTGCGGATTAAAAATGCGAAACATCATTCCTATGTGCATGGAGAGGCACCAGTCTCCGTTTGGTCTATTTCACTGACAGGTATTTTACACGTTATTTAAAACAGAGACAGTCTGTCGATTGTGCTTGTACGTACAATATTGGGAAACTGCTATTCAAATGGTCAGATTACAATGCCGTGCTTGCAGCAACGAAAAACCACAAATATCTCTGGCACCACACTCAACGGCGAAGTTAAATCTTTTTTCCCTAAAACGAAATATCAATCGATACCGCCTCAGTAGAAAATTCAATAGGTACATTTCCCGTTAGACTAGAAGAAAATGTGGCTATAAAATACGAAGTCGTTTACTCAAGTCGAACGAGAAAGTTGAATATTGTATCAGACGGAAGATAGACCACGGCGTAATGGCGCCAACCGGCAATTTTGCAGAATCAATCTGTAGCGAAATTACATTACATGGCGCCGAAGTTCGCGAATTAAGTTTCGCGCTAAACGTCTCATCTCCACCGAGTTTATTTATTTAATAAATATTTCTCCCAAGTGCAAATTTAATATCCCGATGCTAAAATTATTCGGCAGTGCGTTAGCTCCGACCTTCGCTCCGAGTACCATTAGCAGCGATCAATAATCGATCTAAAAAGGTTCTCACCGAGACTAATCAATGTACGAGTCTTGCCAATTTACGTAAAACCCTAAAGAACACCTTCAACCAAAACGACGTGTAAAAAAAATCTGACCGTTGCACCCAGAAATCATTTGAATTTGCGAAAAAAAGTGAATTCGATATCGTTATAAAAAAGTTTGCCACTCAACAAAAGTCAATGTTTCGCAAACGTTGATTGCACAGTCGGCGTACGCATGGTCGCAGAGAATGCTACAGAGGAAGATAAATAGATGGCGCAAGATGACCGGCAAAACTATGACGTATGTATGAAGTATGACGAACCCTTCTCTCAGTCGACCAGTCGGTCGGCGGTACCTCCAATTCAGCATGGTCGCTCTCTGCGTCCGGGCCGTCCGATTCAAACTCCATACTGTCCGTACTCGATGGCTGGATGCCTGCCGGCTAGAAAACGTAAAACGGGAGCGATTGCGTCACGTACAGGTCGAGCACGAGGCTAATCGCCGAGCATGCCTATACCAGCCATCCTATATACCAGCTCATCAATTTCTGAAATCGCTCGGCAGTAGAGTTCGACTCCCCGACGAGTGACGCAGAGCAAGCTGGCTCGTCTTATGGCGTGCTAGTATCGCACATCCTCTGCATTGATACGGAAAGCTCGCGCGCGTGTTTGTATGAGCAGGTGCTTACTGAGTAGCACCTATATAATATTATGTGTGCGTACGTGTGCGTGCCCGCATGCGCGGGTGCGTTTATGTGTGTGTGCTAAAGCCCGGCGCACACGTGAGTAATTTTACTGTCAAATGATGCATGCGTCAAAATACTCAAGTGAAATATTTTCAGCGTTTGCGGCCCACGTGAGTAAACCAATCACGTGACTGTACAAAATGGCGGATACCGATAGTTCGACTGTCTCCGAAGATGAAGAAATTTTATTGTTTCTTTTACTGTGGTTTGCTTGCTCCCTTTTCTCCCTATCTTTAAAATCTGGGCTACTAACGACGTATAAGCATTCATAATCGGGCCAAAAATCCACCAATTAGTCCACCGATAAAACATCCGAAACTATTCTGCGACTACATCATCTTTACTCTTTGCTACAATCTGCTACCATTTGCTAACAACTCTACAATTCTACTCCTTGCTGCAATCATCTACGATGCTACGATTCCGGAGCTGAGATCATCAACCTTCAAACCAAACTACAATAAATAACATTAACCGCACGATCACGAGCCATCGCGCGCAGAGTATCATTTGGGCAAGTGACCAGGTATATCAGTGATCTCGTATCGTAACGTAACGTCGAGTGACGTCCTTCATCCGACAATAAACGTCATTGAGCGTCGCCCGCGCGAGGAGCACAAGGAACTTAATTATCGACCTCTTATCTCCCCCAGCTTTCTCTCTCTCTTTCGCGCGCGCTATCTCTCTCTCTCGCGCTCTCTCTCCCGCTCTTCTCTCTCTCTCTCTCCGCAGCGCGCGCGCTCTCTCTCTCTCTCTCTCTCTCTCTCTCTCTCTCTCTCTCTCTCTCTCTCTCGCGCGCTCTCTCTCTCGCGCTGTCTCTTTCTCTCTCTCTCTTCTCTCTCCTTCTCTTTCTCTCTATATATTATATATTATACAATATAAATATATTATATATTATATATATTATATTATATATATTATATATATATATATATATTATAGTTCAGAGATACATAGCATTGAAGCAAAGCATTGGTTCGCATGAATTCGCGAACATCTAAGTTTAAGTAAATAATTTGCCGTTTTCTGTTTTTATTTTCTTGCTGTTATTTCTTCTCCTTGCTCTGTGTTAAACGCGTAACGGACGGCTAACCGTAACTTTTATGCAACGTTTAGAATAATTAACTAGTTATATTAATTATAATAATATTATTATTAATCTGCCCCTTCTCGTATTAGCGACCAGTGATATGCATGAGCGTGAACGCCATCTACCGTCTTTTTCCAAAATGAAGCAGCTTACCACCGTCAATACTCTTCCTTCATAAAAATAATCAGAAATCCATCTAAGCTGTATAGGTGGCACAGTATGCCAGGCTGTAGGTGGCAACGGGACGCTCCTACTTTAATTCCCTCATATTGCGATCAGATTGAGCTTTCTATGTTGATACTTTATCGGATTACAGATCCTGAACGCGTCCTCTATAGATCGACCTCTTATCTCCCCCAGCTCTTTTCTGTTTTTCGCGCGCGCTATCTCTCTCTCTCTCTCTCTCTCTCTCTTTGTCGCTCTCCTCGCTCGCTCTCTCTCTCTCGCGCGCTCTCTCTCGCGCTGTCTCTCTCTCCTCCCCTCTCTCTCTTATATATATTATATATTATTAGTTCAGTTAGATACATTGCATTGAAGCACATCATTGCATCAGTTATAGCATTGAAGGTTCAGATGATTACGAGAAACGATCGAACTACCGATTACAGACACAGATTATAGTTATAGAGTAAGAAGTTCGGATGCAGAGTAGAAACGCGCTTAATATTCTCACTCACGTCATAGTCGGAATCGTCGACGGAGTCTACGTCGACGTATTTTCTATGTCGAATGCGCTGCTGATGCACTGTCGTTATCGCTTCCTCCCGGTAATATCATCGAACTTGCGCTTCTTGTCGTGATCACCGTCACTGAGGAGAGGTTCCATTGCGGGGTTTTCCTAAACGCCAAGCACAGTTAGATAAATGTGCCATGTTTCGACCTCAAAGAAATAATAGCTGTAAGAAGCATGGTATAACAATTGTAACCCTGCGGAAGAAGGATCGCTGCATGCGCGTATTCGGCCACGCGAAGTAATTATCTCTAGAAGAGGATAATAAACAGTAACCTGTGGAAAGAAAGTTATCTGTATGCGCGTGTTCCACTACGAATGTAATAGTAGTAGAAGCAGATTATATAAATGAAAGTGTTAATGACACCTGTAGCTCACCACAAAAAAGGACACAAATGAGTGAGTGAGAAGAAGTCAGTTTTAATTGAGCAACCATCGACGTACATTATAGAAACGAAGAGTATATATGAGAACTCCCATTATATAATCTTGATAATTATATGTGTAATTTTTTATGTAAAAATAATAAATAATATTATATATAAATTATAAATAATTTATATAACAAAAATGAAAACACAATTTGTGACGGTAGAATGGCGCTATATCCGCTTTATGTTTCTTAGCATAAATCATTATATCATAATAATAATAATATAATAATAATAGTATAAATCATAATATGTTCATAGCAGGAATTTTGCCATTAAAGATATTGTCAATGAAATCTTGTAAAACGAACCAGACGAGTGTGACACCACAGACTGTTTGTTATCTGCGTGTCTATATAATATGCTATAAATTGCCAACACTACCTAATTTGCATAATTTCTTTTTAAATATTAAAATCCCTAGCCCTTATTCATTCACATACCAAAAATGAGCAAAATCCGTTGAACCTTGAACTTGACTAATGGCAATTCACATTTTTGCTAAAAAAATCGCCGTGGCCTCGAAAGTACGTCGAATGGCGTGCTCCAAAATAGGACGTTTAATATGGAGGCATAGCAGTAACAACTATACCCAATTTCAAACATGTGGGTCAAAACGGTTCCTGAGTTATCGTTTACCGTAGCCAAATGTTGACGGACGGACGACGGACGCGCGGACGGACGGACGGACGTACGATCGGACGACGACCCATGGCAATAACTCAGCTTGACGATGTCAAGGTGAGCTAAAAACCAACACTATGACCGGAAACTCGCGTATAACCAGTAGGTGTCACCATATTGTAAGTGGCAAAAGCATTCCCTTAATCCAGCCTCGCTGCCAGTTGGCAGAATAGTAACGTCAAAACGATAAACAATAAAATAGCGTCTCTCTCTGATGATGGAAAATACATATGACATACTATATAAAATAGTATAATATTGTACGAATTCGCATGGTTTAAATCACTAATGTATTGGTCACAGTCGATCGTTTCGTAATTATCACTAATAAAAACCGAGATCAGGAATAATTTAAAAATGTTAAAGGCCTAAATACTTACAAGCTTACATATACTTACAGCTTTAAAGAAATACAAAAAAGATGAATTACCGTCTTGTTTTGAGGGTGATGTCAAGTAAGATTTGAAGACAGGCTTTGTAGGAGACGTGGACACGTACACGCGCACAAAGTTTATCAGTTTATTCGGCAGGTAGAGACTCAACCATATGAACGAGTTATACGGCGGCGAAGCAAGTCGTTTCTTCGGAGTAACCTAAAATAAACAGATGGGTGGAGTACATTAGTATAGCGTTTATAGCCTCGTTCACACGAGATAAGACCAAAGATCATATACAATAGATGGGACACTTGACTATATGTTGGGTCACGCGCGACACCTAGCGCCGACCAACGGTGAGTTAGGGTCACGAACGGAAATTGCATGAGAAAGTATGCGAATATGCCAATCATTTGCGCGGAAAATATCAGTGAGCATGATACATGCCATATTTTAATGGTTCAGGGAAGAACTATGAGGACACAGCAGGAGAGGGACTTTTCTCCCCCAGCCAGGAAGTGTTTCATGCTTGCACTACTGGAATTAGAATTTAGAGACGTAATTCCAAAGGTTTAGGCCTATGGCACATGAGTAAGGTGCGCAAGCCTTCTCATCCCTCACTTATTACAGACAGCACAGTCACTAGCGTGATTCAAATAAAGTATGCAAAGCCCAAGAATTAATAACAGCTTGTTTGTAAATATCCGCCCTCCATCACGTTCTCCGTTGAGAACAATTGTATGTTTGTATCAGTTAGTAAGAGAAAGAACCGCAAATTATTGCTTCACCGCTGTAATGGCAAAATAATTGTTGTTGTTGTTGAACTTACACACGCCAGTCCGGTGCATGGTGGGGGATGCAAGGATTCCCTTGTTATCATTTCTGAGCGGTGTGTGCGAGATATGGTTAATTGCTATAGTTAAAATATGATAAAATAGTACCATATATATAGTAATTATTATGTGAATAATACTTCGATGAGACCAATTCGCTGCAGTATGTTTTTTTCTTGTTTCTATCACCACAAACGAAACACTTATTCCTCCCTCTCTTATAAATTGCAAACCATTTTAATTATAATCCGAATTGTATGACTGATCTATATCAATTTGTTATCATTCTCATTACTGTACTTGCAATATAACTTAAGGTGCACAAAATTTGCACTATACTTTCTACATGCACGAATATTCTACACGGGGTTATGGAGGTGGCTAATTATATTTTATTGAACCGTTACACTGACGTGTTTATATGACGGTTACACTGCCGCTGCCGACTATGCTGATGTGCACACGAACGTTACCCTGCTTAAAAATGTATTTATCCCTCGTTCTAGTACAGCTAAGTTAACACTGTATGTCAGATTTCGTGCAAGCTACCTATAGCAATGAGCTTATGAGATAAAAATGTAATTGAACATCTATTTATAATAAATCATGTTGTTTTTACTCGAGCACCTTTCGAGTGGTCGTCTGCATATATTCTACTGTTGTTAGCAGTCAGCTGGTAAGCTGCCGACCCTAACTCGCCGTTGGTCGGCGCTGGTGTCGCGCGTGCGGACATCGAAACTGTATGGCAAGCATAGGCGGCTGTCCCATCTTAATTTATAATGATCTTGCATAAGACCTCGTAATAAAACCTCGTAATAAGAATCGTAATAAGACCTCGTATTTATGAAATACGGTATTTGCGAAATACCAAATCTGAGACAAATACGCGGCGAGCGTTTCACACGCTGATTCAGCGGCCTCCAGAAATACAGGTATTTGCGAGCTGCGAGCTGCCTTTTAAACAATCAGCGAACAATGCGAATAAAAAAGTTGCGATCGCACCAACTGCCCAATTAAAATACGTGCACTGGTCCGCGCTCGACAGTTCACTCGCGTTACATTCTGACTGTCGAGCGCGGACCAGTCTATTAAATACGCGAGCTCAGAAATCCGCGTATTTTCAGCGTTCACACGAGAAATGCCGGTCCAAGATCGGTATTTCTCAAGTGCACCGCAAATTATTCGGCGGTCTGGAAGCGGCCGTATTACATCAAAATGCCGGATCTGTTTTAGATACCGTATTTCTTGGCACCGCGCATTGTTGCCTCGTGTGGACGCATAAATACCGCGATTTCTTGCTACGCTCGTAACGCGGCTTATACGTATTTTATCGGCAGTGTTGGTGCGCATTGCATGTATTTCATAAATACGAGGTCTCCGTGTGAACGAGGCTTATTAACTAGAGCTAGTCTGCGACGAGCTAGGCAGGTGTCATTACCTTTTTTTTTTTTTAACGAGGTAGCAATCTAACTCTAATTCTTGCCGACGTTAGCATCAAAGTTTCGATGAGATGTGCTAGGTATGATTTGCGATGTTTACAGCGCAAGGCTCTAGATTTTACGGAGACGGTGAAAGCACTAAGTCATGCAGACGACTTGTCTGACTCTGCTGCGATGCCCATGCAGCGTATGCGTTACATTCGTTACTTTAGGCTGCCTACACGTGTTTAAGTGTATCGCGAATATTTTTGTTTTTAAAACGATGATCAACTCGCCGCGAAAGGAATACTACGAGGATACAAACCCGGATTGCGTTCTCGAATAGCGCTCTCTTAGAGGACTGCGATGGTATTGGAACACATTACTTCCTTAAAGTGATGTCGGCTCAGACCTCAGGCAGACTGAACCTATAAGCCATTACGGTCCTGTATGAAGTATCTGTATTGAAAAGCCGCTAAATACATATTGTATCCTCTATTTCTATTTGTTTTAATTGAAGATCGTGATAATTTTTGATTGGGTTAATGCGCACCACACACTGATTTACATGAAATCGTCATACGAGAGTGTTGAGTTGAAGCTAAGAAGCTAGAGATAGATGATCGGTGAAAATATGTTTGAAATGAATCGCTGCCGTCTGCCGACTGCTGTTTGCAACGAACTACTGCAGCGAATATTGCGCAAAAACGTGGCTACTGATAGCGGTGTAGAACGCTACTCACGCGAGGGCGAGGAGTATCCGGACACACCAGAAAACAGGGAGTTTGCCTAGAAACACCGCGCGTCGAAGGAGGGTCACGTGATGTGGCTGCACTTGTGTTAGGATTAGCGGTTTAAGGGTCAGGGTTAGGGGTTTAGGCTTAGGCTTAGGCCTTCAGGGCCTAGCGGCCTAGGCGCACTAGCGGCTAGCGGCTAGGGCTAGGTCTAGGGCTAGGCGCTAGGGCTACGGTCTAGCGGCTAGGGCTAGGGCTAAGGCTGCGGCTGGCTAGCGGTAGGGCTTAGGGCTAGGGCTAGCGCTAGGGCTAAGGTTAGGGTTAGGGTTAGGGCTTAGGGTAGGCGTTAGAGGTTAGGGAAATAAGGCCATGTCTAGCACGCGAAGCATGACTGCTGGAATCTTTCTGTGGAAGATTGAACTTTGAAGCGTACTGAATTACTAGTGCTGCTCAGCGTAACGCGCCCCCTCCTTCGACGCCCCGTGTTCTGCTTATCTCTGTTATCTTTATGTGAATGCTTATTTCTTACTCATCATTCCTGCTTATAGTGTAATCGTATACTGCTCGTATTTCTGGCCACGGTTCTGTTCTTGTTTTTGCGCGGTATTTAGGCTGTTCAGCCTGCGCTGCCGGGTTCGGCTCGCTTACATTATGTTTTGTAGTCATGTGACTCGCGGGGTTTCCTTGTCCGCAGTATAAAAGCGTCTGTTGCTGCGTGGCGCTGGCCCTTTTGCTGCTTGTCGCCGTATTATAACGTTCCCGTGCGCTCGCGCATTTCTTCCCACGATTGACCACCATACATTGTAAGTGTTTTTACTCCTTGCGTTCTCGTCTATTTATAATTTCTTATAATTTGAATCTTTGTTATATAAACGTTGGAATATAGTGAACATGCATGACATGCAGCGAACGTAATATTTAGTTGTGCATTATTTTGATTTACAGTTTTACCTGCACCGTGCGCTCAACGCATTGTGCCTGAGCTAATAAATTTGGCAGATAACGGAAAAGATGCCGCAGTTTGGGGTTTTTGATTAATCACGCCCACGGAACGTAACAGCTTAAAACAATGTTGAATCAAGAGCGACTGAATAAGAGTTACATGAAGCAAGAGCGACATGGAGTAAAAAATGGTATGAATCAAAGAGTGTAATCATGAGTAAAAGGTTACATGAAGCAAGAAAACATGAGTAAATAAGGTTACATGAAAGCAAGAAAACATGAGTGAGAATAGCATAGAGCAGGGACTACAATGAGTTAATGCGATATGCGTGCATTGAGGACATGAGCAAGAAAAGTCTATGAGCCTAAGACTGAGGGAATCTACGTCAAGAATTGACAACATTGGCGGGAGTGCGCAAGAAGTTACAGAGGGAACTCACCTGGGAAAGGTAACACCATAAGCCGCCTGGTTAGCAGAGCAAGATGATATGAAGAGACGCCCAAGCAAAGACTTCGGATATTAAAGGGAGTATTTTCCGAGTTTGCCTAACGCACACAGAGGATTGTCATGTGCTTCTCACTGACGACGGTGATCATTGACGATAGTGATGGGTATCTCTTGTGAGGTCTCAAGATGCAGGTGATATTGATGGGGTGAGGAGAAGCCGAATGCATTCCTTCGATAGTCGGAAGTTACCCATCAAGCCGGATGGCATATAAGACGACAAGAGCAGAATATGCACGACTGGAACCAGCCAGAGCATGTTCCGGAAACATCAAGAAGCCAGCCAGAAAGCAAGAGGAAGAACGTATTAGGAATGGAACGAAGAAAGAATTGTTCCAGGCAACAGCAAGAAGCAGCCAGGGAAGCAAGATGAGAAGGTATTAGAATGGAACAAGAAAGGAATGCTTCCAGGAACAGCAAAAAGCATAGCATGAAGCAAGCTAGAAGAATGTATTAGAATGGAACCAAGAAAGAATGTTTCCAGGAACTACAAGAAAGAGCCAGGAAGCAAGACGGAAGAATGTATTTAAAACGGGACAAGAAAGAATGTTCAGGAACAGCAAGAAGCAGCCATGAAGCAAGGAGGAAAGAATGTATTAAAAGGGAACAAGAAAGAATGTTCCAGGCAACGCCAAGAAGCAGCCAGGAAGCAATGATGAAAAAGGTATTAGATGGAACAAGTAAGAATGTTCCAGCGAACAGCAGAAGCAGCCAGAAGCAGAGGAAGAACATAATTAGAATGGAACAAGAAAGAATGCCTTCCAGGAAACAGCAAGAACCAGCC